TTTTGTTGTACATAGACGGTCGTACAGGCGGTTGCGAACTAGCTGGCGTCTTAGAGTGTCCGGTGGTATTTCTATCACTCTTACGAAATTCTCTAGACCGGCCCTTATTAAGCAGCGTTTTATAGCTGCACTTATTTCGTTTGAAATAAAGGGCAACAGAAACGGAGCCTTGTTTTCACTAGAATTATCGCTTTGGGGCGTGGGATTTCCTCGATGCCTATCCTGAGAAGCTACAGTTTCGTAACCATTTGAGATGGCTATTTGTCGCGCCAGTTTCGAGGATTCTTCCCTCTGCTCTCTACCTGTGCACACGCTAGCGGCGGTTCGAAACATATTTCTTATAAGCGCTCTTTTAGTGTGTGAGGGGTGAGAGGAGCGGTAGTGGACCACTATATTCTTACTGCTCGGCTTTCGATACCATTTTGTGGTGTAGCCGTTCTCGGATAGGTTAATTTGAAGGTTTAGAAATGGAAGCCAGTTTTCTTTCGGTTTCTCACGGGTGAACTCATAAAGTTGTTTTTACCTTCCGTAACATCAATTTGAAAAAAAGGGAAAACGTAGGTGTCTATTGAAAATGAAAAAATATAGAATGCCGTAAAATACTTGTATAACACAAACTCCCCAGTTTAATATGAAGACCGCGAGCCGCTTATTATATGCTGGTCACATTCACAATGACCTAGTGAAGAGATGAGCTCCTCTATTTCGATGGGACTGATCTGTTTCACTTTACACTATTTTATGCTTGTTGTCAGGATCTTATTAAATTTTATACCATTTATTAGAAAGCTTCAGTTCACCTAGCAATTTGCAATTTAGTGGTGTCAAGGACATCAGAAATAGCAAAGAATAGGTCCTAATACCCGACGTATGCATCACTAAGTCCTCCATCCTTTCGGGGTCAATAAAATGGCATCGAACATGTCTGGATGGACAGCAGCACTGATTTGGTACACCAGTAGGCCACCGCAAGTCGTTGCAGTAGCGAGATATGCATTCAACCTCCTCTCTAACGATGCTTGATGAAGTCCAATGCAAGGCTCATCCCCAAAGGATTGGTCAACGGCGAAAAGGTTTATTTTTTTTATCCTTTGCATGAGAGAATAAACGTAATAAGTCGCATCGTCCACCTGATAATCCTAATCTCCTAAGGTATTCTTCAACATGGTTGAAAATACGCTAAAAGAAGAACAACCACTACGAAACCCCTACTCCTAGCAAAAATTATCAAGAATTCAAATGAGCATAGAATATTGGCTTAATATCAAACAGCGATTTACGGTATATGTTATCTATCGATAAGGCCTGGTCTTTTTACCTTGAAAATTCGACTAAATTTAATATTCTTTGTCTTAATCCGGCACATAACATAAACGAATGATTAACTTTGAAGAACTTACTGTTCAAACCCACTGGAGATCAACAAAAGCGATAAGCGAGAGAGAAGACAAGAACTTAAGCGGATTAATACGTTTAATGGAGCACCCTGGCTAGAGAAATCATGGATTGCAAACGCTGGTCGGTCCCAACTGTGTTAACTACGACTAATCCCTCCAGTGAAGGCAAAATAGTACCAGACTTTCCTAAGTAAACTTCCTGCTAATCCACAAAAGCCGATAATTCCCTGGAGCAAAGACTTCGCGAGACACTAGCACAGGTGTCGCAGGATTCCAGAGAGAATCAACTCAACCAGCGTTCCACTACATTCGTGAGGAAATTATGTCCTTATCTGG